TTGCCCGGGGGCCCCAGCGGCTGCACGGGTATAGGCCCTGTGCGTGCTGCGGTTTGCAGCTTGTGGTTGTTTCGCTTGCGAGCCGGCGCCGTCAGGGCGACTCCTCGTTGGCTCTCGCTGTCATTCGCTCTCTGCATGTGCACTTGCCTGCCGGTCTGCTTGGCGCGGTCTCCAGCCGTTGGGCTGTGGTCTTGCCGCATGGCCTGGCAGTCTCGATTGCGAGCTGGCGCCGTCAGGGCGACTCCTCGTTGGCTCTCGCTGTCATTCGCTCTGCATGTGCACTTGCCTACCGGTCTGCTTGGCGCGGTTTCCAGCCGTTGGGCTGTGGTCTTGCCGCGTGGCCTGCGTCTCCAGCAGCTTGGCAGCATTAATTATCTGGCACTGTGCCCCAGTTTGCTCGATTACCACGCCCTCTGGACTTTTCCTTGCGGGCCGCTGATCAAAATAAATATCCCCACCAGCCCGTTGCGACTTTCTCCGTTGCACTCGCACTGCTGTCTGCTTCACTTCGGTGTGGCCGGCGCCTATGTGCGTTTGCCTTAATGCGGGGCATTTTGCTCAGTGCATGTGCACACCACGCATCGCGTGTAATTTGCCGTGGTCCGTAGTCCCGGACATCGCTGTTGCCGGCTGACCTTTGTCGCGCGGCCGCCAACCAAAAAGTATCTCCATCAGCCCGTCCAGCAAGAATGCCCAGACGAGTTGCCATGATCAGAGAGGTGGGGGGAAGATGGAGGACAAATCTGAGGAGACAGAGGAGGACACGGAGGAGGAGGAGGGGGAGGAGGAAGAGGGAGGAAGAGGGAGGAGCGATAAGAAATTAGAAGAGGCGGATGAGGACGAGGTGGGCGAGCAGAAGGGCAAGAGGCCGCTTGGATGTCCCTCGGAGTCAGTCTCTTGCGATTCCTCTTGGGAGTTTCTTGGAGGCCTTTTGGAGCGTCTTGGGGGCCTCTTGGCGGTCCCGGGGACCTCTTGGAGCGTCTTGGTGCATCGGGGGAGCCTCTTGGGGCATTTGGGGGGCCGCTCGGGAGCCTCTTGGGGGCCTGTTGGGGCTTCCTGGGCGCGTCTTGGGGCCCTGTTGGGGCATTTTGGAGAGCCTTGGTGGCCCTCAGGAAGGCTCCAGAGGGGGGTGGGAGGGGTGGTGGAGGGGGGGTGGATGGAGGGGGGGGGGCGCGGAGTTGAGGGTGGAGGGGGGGGGGCGGGCGGGCCATGCCAGTGCCATGCGCTTGCCATGCTGTTGCCATGCGATCGCCATGCTATTGCCATACAGTTGTCATGTCTTTGCCATGCTGTTGCCACGCGGTTGCCGTGCAGTTGACGTGCAGTTGCCATGCAATTGCCATGCAGTTGCCATGCTATTGCCGTGCTGCTGCCTTGCAGTTGCCATGCTATTGTCATGCGATTGCCATGCCATTGCCATGCTGTTGCCATGCAGCTGCCATGCAATTGCCATGCACCTGCCACGCTGCCGCCATGCTGTTGCCATTCGATTGCCATGGCACGAGTGTGCGAGTGTGCGCGGCGCCAAGGCGCGCGCCCCATTTTGAAACTAACGCCCTGCATCCGTCTGTCGGGAAGTTGGAAGACCAACATGCTTGGCACCAAGGCGATCGTCCCATTTCGAAAACGAGCCGCCCTCATTCTGCGTAAGTGTTGTATCGTTTGAAGGCCAGTGCGCACAGCGCCAAGGCAAGCGTCCCATTTTGGAGATCACACTCCACCCGTGTAGATGCTGGAAGTTTCAAGCTTCAGGGCTATGAACGGTGAGGAAGCCTCAGGCGAAACGCCCAGACCGCCCGAACGACCAGGCCGGGGTGCGACAGGGAGGAGGTATCTAGAAGGAGAAGGGGTTAAGGATGAGGATGAGGTGCAACAGTTGCCGTGACAGTTGCCACAGCAACAGATGTCATGGAAGTTGCCACGGCAACTGGGTCCATAGATGGCAGTGGCAACTGTTGCCATGGCAGCTGCTGCCAGGGCTCCCCAGAGCGAAGGGTGCCCTGTGCTCGCTCGGGCAGGCTCCTGAGGCGCTCTGTCTGTGCACGTTGCCAGCGCATGTAGTAATACTTGTGCAATGTGATTGCGATGCAATTGCCATGCAGCTGCCAGGCTATAACATGACATCGCGGCAACTGCAGGGCAAGTGCCATGCAGTTGGAGTGCCAGTGCCATGCAATTGTCATGACGTTGCCATGCAGTTGTCATGTTGTTGCTATACAGTTGCAATGCCGTTGTCATGCTGCTATCATGCTGTTGCCATGCTATTGCCATGCCTATGCTATGCTCTTGCAATGGTGTAGGGATGCTATTACAATACTGTTGCAATGCCGTTGCCATACCAATGCCATGCTGTTGTCATGCCGTTGCAATGTTGTTACAATGCTGTTGCCATGCGGTTGTTGCCATGCTGTTGCCAGGTTGTTTCCAGGTTGTTGGCATGTGATTAATTGTGCTGCTGCCATACTGCTGATACGCTGTTGCCATTACATTGCTATGCTACTGCAGTGCCGTTGTCATGCCGTTTCCATGCCATTGCCATGTTGTTGCCATTATGTTGCTATGATGTTACCATGCCATTGCCATGCCGTTGCCATGCTGTTGCCATGCAATTGGCATGTTGTTGCCATGTTGTTGCCATGCCATTCCCATGCTGTTGTCATGCTGTTACGGTGCTACCGCCGTGCTATTGCCATGCAGTTGCCATGTTGTTGCCATGCAGTTGCCTTACCGTTGCAATTTGTTGTTGCCATGCTGTTGCAATGCTGTTGCAGTGCTACTGCCGTGCTGTTGCCGTGCTGCAGTCAAACCATTGCCATGCCATTGCCATTATGGTGCCATGATGTTGCCATGCTGCTGCCAGTATGTTGCCACGCCGTTGCCATGCTGTTGCCGTGCCATTGCCATGCCGTTTCCATGGTGTTGCCATGTTGTCGCCATGCTGTTGTCATGTTGGATGTCATGCTTTGGCAATACAATTACCAGGCTGGTGCCATGCAGGTGTCATGCCATTGCCATGCAGTTGCCATGTTATTCCCGCGTGTTTGCCATGCTGTTGCTATGATGTTACCATGCCATTGCCATGCCGTTGCCATGCTGTTGCCATGCAATTGGCATGTTGTTGCCATGTTGTTGCCATGCCATTCCCATGCTGTTGTCATGCTGTTACGGTGCTACCGCCGTGCTATTGCCATGCAGTTGCCATGTTGTTGCCATGCAGTTGCCTTACCGTTGCAATTTGTTGTTGCCATGCTGTTGCAATGCTGTTGCAGTGCTACTGCCGTGCTGTTGCCGTGCTGCAGTCATACCATTGCCATGCCATTGCCATTATGGTGCCATGATGTTGCCATGCTGCTGCCAGTATGTTGCCACGCCGTTGCCATGCTGTTGCCGTGCCATTGCCATGCCGTTTCCATGGTGTTGCCATGTTGTCGCCATGCTGTTGTCATGTTGGATGTCATGCTTTGGCCATACAATTACCAGGCTGGTGCCATGCAGGTGTCATGCCATTGCCATGCAGTTGCCATGTTATTCCCGCGTGTTTGCCATGCTGTTGTCATGATGTAGCCATGCCGTGGACATGCCGATATTATCTTGCCATGTCGTTGCCGTGGGGTTGCCATGCTGTTGCCATGACGTTGCCATGATGTTGCCATGCTGTTGCCATTATGTTGCCGTGCGGGTGCGATGCTGTCGCCATGTTGTTGCCGGGCCGTAGCCATGTCGTGTCCATGGTGTTGACATGCGGTTCCCCACGCTATTGCTATGGTGCTGTCATGCTGTTGCCATGCTGCTGCCACGCTGTTGCCATGCTGCTGTCATGCTAGTGCCATGCCAATCCCGTGCCGTTGCCAAATTGTTGCGGGGCTATTGCCGTGATATTGCCGTGTTGTTGCCATGCTTCTTCCATGTTGTTGCCATGCCATTGCCATGCTACTGCCATGCCGATGTCATGCCGTTGTCATGCTGTTGTCATGCTGTTGCGGAGCTATTGTCGTGATATTGCCATGCTGTTGCCGTGCTGCTTCCACGCCAGTGCCATGACGTTGCCATGATGTTGCCATGCCGTGGACATGTCGTTGCCATGCGATTGCCGTGCTGATGTCCTGCGGTTGTCATGCTGTTGCCATTATGTTGTAATGTTGGTGCCATGTCATTGCCATGACGTTGCCATGATGTTCCCATGGTGTTGCCATGCTGTTTGCATGCTGTGGCCACGCTGTGGCCATGATTCGGTCATGCTGTTGCCACGCCGTTGCCATGCTGTTAACATGCTGTTACGTTGCTATCGCCGTTCTACTGCCATGCAGTTGCCATGCTGTTTCCATAGTGTTGCCATGCTGGTGCCATGCTGGTGCCATGCTGTTGCCATGGTGTTGCCGTGCTGCTGCCACGCGGTTGCCATGATGTTGCCATGCTGTTGCGTTGGCCATGCTGTCGCCATGCTGTTGCCACGCCGTTGCCATGCTGTTGCCTTGCTGTTTCGATGCCATTGCCGTGTCGTTACCATGCTGGTGCCATGTTGGTGCCATGCTGGTGTCACGCTGCTGCCATGCTGTCCCCATCAAGTCTGCCCACATGTCTCGAGTGAAATTCGCAGCGCGGAAACTAACTACAAACGCCGGCAAGCCGCCCGGCCTATGACAGAAGAGCTGTCTATCTTTCATTGCGTCGTGGCTCTTGCGGCGTACAGCAGGACGCCCGGGATCTCGGGTGCAGTTCTGCCTGAGGGAGAAGGAGGAGGAGGGAGGGTTGAGGACGGACTGCGAGCCGTTGGCAGGCTGGCGTGGATACCCAGGTACAACTATTAAACACCGGATGTGCAAATCGGAGCACTGCCAGCCGTGGCGCAGGGACATCCATTGAGTCATGGTCCTCAGGGAGAGGACGCCATGTCAAACTGGCAGGGCGGCCAGCGCCGCTCTGACGCCCCGTGGGCGGAATGTGGCGAAAGGAGCAGTCCAGGGTCCTCCTCGTCGTCGTCCTCCTCCTCCCTGTGCTTCCTCCGCCATTCCTTGCTCGCCTAGAATCCTCATCACGCAGTGCAGGCTAGAAGACTCAGAAGAAGGAACAATCACACAGATCCACGTGGACGTCCGAAAATCTGTGCTCATGCAAAAGCTACTTCTTCGGATCACGCGGCGCAAGCGAGGAAGGCCAGCGCTACCGCGAGGACCCCTCACCGCAGCAACGCTGACACCAACAGGACTATCATGAAGGCGCTGCTGCATGCAGGAGCAGTACTCGTGGAAGTGATGAAACACCCGAAACACATGTATTGAGAGAACTGAGAGCAACCTGGAACGCAATAATCACCCGGCTCAGCAAAGTACCCGTCGTCGCAAGCGGCGTAACCTTCACAATCCCGGTTCGAGTCTGCACACGCATCGCAGGACAACGTGTGGCACTCCCCCCAGAACAGGTAGCCATTTGCGTGGCAATCGGCCTCGCACGAATTCGAATAGGTCACGCCATCGTATCCACAGACCGGGTCCCAGTAATCCTCGCAGTCACATTCACTTGCGCATTCCCCCCAGTACTGGTAGCCATTCGCGTAGCAATCGGCCTCGCACGAGTTCGAATAGGTCATGCCATCGTATCCACAGACCGGGTCCCAGTAATCCTCGCAGTCACATTCACTTGCGCATTCCCCCCAGTACTGGTAGCCATTCGCGTAGCAATCGGCCTCGCACGAGTTCGAATAGGTCATGCCATCATATCCACAGACCGGGTCCCAGTAATCCTCGCAGTCACATTCACTTGCGCATTCCCCCCAGTACTGGTAGCCATTCGCGTAGCAATCGGCCTCGCACGAGTTCGAATAGGTCATGCCATCGTATCCACAGACCGGTTCCCAGTTGTCCTCGCAGTCACATTCAATTGCGCACTCCCCCCAATACTCGTAGCCATTCGCGTAGCAATCGGCCTCGCACGAGTTCGAATAGGTCATGCCATCGTATCCACAGACCGGTTCCCAGTAATCATCGCAGTCGCACTTGGAACACGTATCGCAACAAGTGTGGTAAAACTGAAAATCTTCGCACCAGCCCCAGGTCATGGCCTCATAGCAGCCACTGGCCCCTGTTGCAAGCGATGCTGAGACGTCCTCGTCTCCTTGGCAGGTGGTCGTGCTGCAGGTGGCGCAGCACACGTGCGACAGCCAGTAGTTCTGCTCAGGCTGAAGGCAAAGTCCTGCTATATCCGAGCAACCGCTGAATGGATATCCCAATTGGGCGAAGGTCTCTACGACCCAGTCGTCATAGTCTACGCACTGGTCCATGGCGCCACTGCACGTGTCGCAACAAATTGAACGATGCAACGTGTCGTAGCATTCTGCGGCTGTATCGGTGCACTCTTCTCCGAAAAAACTCAAGGCCACTTCATCTTTGTCGCCCTCGCAAGTCCATTCTCCGCCTCCGCAGGCACAGCACGCTTCAGTAGGCATATGCCCCATGAACGAATAGTTTTCAAACGTGCCCCATTCATACTCCCAAGACGAAGGGTACTCACCAGATGGTATGTATGCACCAGCCTTCCTGACTCCACTGTAAGCAGGTCGAACCAAAAGGTGAGACCCAGTCGTCAACGTCTTCACAGGTCTGATACGCAGGGTACACCCTAATGGATCGTATAGTGTCGTAGTCGATGCCGACGTGCGCAACAGCAATGTCTTCGTAGAATGGTCCCCACCTTGTTCCTGACCCTTGCGCCCAGTCTGAGACATCCATGGCACACCCTGCTGACAGTTCGATGGTGTCAATGCAATTGCACGTATCGGTCCACATAGCCGACGTGTACGGTCCGCAAGGGTCCTCTGTGCACGTCAAGTTGTCCCCGCATGAGCAGTAGGCTTGGGCTACGCAACCGTTATCCGATGAAAGCGCTCTCCCTACCGAAGGTAACAGATCGCCACACTTGCCCGTATACGCAACCTTGGCACTAGAGCAATGGGCTTGGCAAGCGCTGTCGTAGGTCAGCCCGTTATCACCGCAAACTGGGTCCGAGAAGTCGCAGTTGCAATCTGAAGCTCCCGACGTCAGAGCCCGTCCATTGTGAGCATTGGGCAACGCTTGAATCCGTCGGAAGAGCTCGCCGCTCTTGCCCCGTGGGACTTGCACGTTCGCCTGCAAGCACGCCACGTGATTGCCGGCAGCATCGATGGCTCTGATCTTCAACCTGTAGGCGCCAGCTAACACCATCGGCGGCAGCTCGTCAAGGGCGAAGCGCAGCTCGATATTGCCAGCGGGAAGGGGGCAGCCACGTTTGCTGTGGCTCCTGCCAAAGTGTTTGCACAGCTCCTCCTCGTACTTGTGAGGGACACTGTGCCACGCGAGCTCGCGCTTCATCCAATCTGCAGTGGACGACCCTCCGGCAGCCGATCCCTTGTACATCTTCACGCTGACTGTGCCCCCCGACACGCTGCGCGAGAGGTTCCCGTAGGCGCGCACCTGGAGGTGGGCGCGGCTGAACTCCGTGCGCGCAACGTGCATCACGTCCATCTTTTCGCCACAGTCCTCGACCTGGATTCCAGCACCGTGATCGAGCATATCCGCCACTGTGGTGACATCGCTCTTGTCGCTACCATCTGTCGCCATGTCGTCGAGCAGGCCCCAGAATGCGTCGTTGACCTTGTTGCCTCCGCCGACCGTCGCCAAAGAGAGGGCGGCCAAGACCGAGCGAGCCGTCACCGAAGCCATTGGAAGCATGGTCCCGCGACGCGTTCCACAGTCCGGCTGCCTTCGCAGAGCCGCTAGCACAAACACTGTGTTCCTGGACCCTGAATATTGAGCCAAATTTGCTCTGGAGTGGTGCGAATTACATTGCAAGCTGTACTGGTTCCTGTGATTGGATTTCCAGCAGGACCTGTAAGAGAACGTGTGGAAAGAGCTGTTGTAGGAATTGTATGATGAGCTGTAGTGAGACCTGTACTGCTGATTGCACTGTGAAGTTGCGTATGTGCTTTTCTTTCTTATCGTAACAGAACAAAGAAGCTGAGGTCGGGGCTGCAACGAAAAAAGTTGCAGTGAGAGTCGTGTTGATGGCTGCAGTAAGACTTGCAATGGGAGCTGTAAGAGAAGACGTAGTAGAGCTTCAATAGATATTGTAGCAGGAACGGTGGCAATGATTGTGGCAGAAGCTGTAGTGCGAGCTGCGAGAGCTGAGCTGGCTGTCGTATGGATTGTTGTAGGAGCTGTACTGTGAGCTGTACTGACTGCCCTGTGAATGCTTGTAGTCGGATCCGTAGCCAATGAGGGGCGGAAGAGCGCAGCATACGATAAACAGGGACAGGGGCGGAAGAGCGCAATGAGGAAGGGAACAGGAAATATGAGCAGCGTGAGGGTCACGACGAAGGCGAGGAAAAATATGAATCACCAAGCACAAGGCAACATGTACCATCACTAAGGGTGGGAGCATATATATATATGTATATATACATACATATATATTTGTTTAAGTACATACATGTGTGTCACAGTCATATACAAGACTGCAGTGGCGCTTCGCGCCATGCACTTTGGTCATTCGAGTTCCGCGCGCAGGCGGCGTGCGTGCGCGTGCACATGCGCGCACACACATACATGTCATACGCGCGCACGCGCATGCACGCCATACATCTGTAGACGCATATGTATATATATATATATATATACATATATGTGCGTGTGTGACTCTATTGATGTGCATACAGACATATGTACATACATATATTCAATATTGCGCAAACGTGTGTATCATATAGTCATGGCATTTCTAGTGTACACAGACGCATGTACATATATGTGTATACATAAACATGTATATACGAATTTGCAAGTCTGTAGATGTGTACATGTACGCGGTCGTGGCCACAAAATTGGGGGACAAACGCGCAATAAAGGGCTCGCGGATGCCGGGAGACTTGGGTAGGACACGGCATGGACGACACGGCAGAATGTGGAACGGCGACCTGGGCTTACCAATGGCCGGGTCTTTGGGACTATGGAAGGAGCCGTGTGAGGGCCGTGGAGGGCCTCGGGGCCGTGTCGCACCGGGGTTCGACGCTGAAGTTGTTTTGCGCCGCCGTACTCTGTTGGGAGGCCTCGCGTTCAGAGTGTTAACGTCACGTGGAGTTTATTTGAGCCTCCCAGAACCTTCTGAGCGCCTCTTTGGGGCGTGGTGCAGTCCCGTTATGGCTTGGACCCGTCATGGGCCGAGTCTTGGCTCTGTTGGGCTGTCTTGGAATAATGTTCGGGTTCCTGGCCCGTTTTGGGTCTGTCTTGGGGGTGTTTTTGGCGTTTCCGGGTTTTTATTTGGTCCGTGCGGGATGTTTTTTTTGGATTCTTGGGACTTCTCGGGGGTTCCTGAAGGCCTCCTGGGTGCCTCCTGGAGCCTCTTCAGGGCCTCTTGGGAGCCTCGTGGGGCCTCCTGGGGCCCCGTCGGGACTGTCTGGGTGCCCTCTTGGGCCGGTTTGGGGCCCTCTTGGGCCTGTGTGGGGCCCTTGGAGGTCTGCGGGGTCGTCTTCGGGCGATCTCGGGGGCGTCGCGGGTCGTATTGGAGCGTCGGGGAGCCGAAAAGGAAAAACGCACACATCCCTCACAAACAAACAGGAAAACAATTATTTGTGCCTCGCGGGGCTTTCTTGCGGGGCCTTCTTGGGGGTGATATTTTGGGACTCTTCGGGGCCTTTTGGGGTTTCACGAGGGCCTCTTCGGGGCCTCTTGGGGCCTCCCGGGGCCCTGTCGGGACTGATTCGGGGCCCTCTTGGGCCGGCTTGGGGCCCTCTTGGAGGCATGTCGGGCCGGGGGGCCTCTTGGGGGCCTCGGGTCTCTTCGTGGCCTCTTGGGGCCTCCTGGGGAGACCGGTGCGGGAGTTCCGACGAACGAACCCCTCCTGAAACCTTCCTGAGGAAGGTTTTAGGAAGGTTTTCCCGGGGGGGAGGGGGTGGGGGGAGCGAGGAAGGTTTCAGGAAGTGTTTCGAAAAACCGTTCAAAAACCTTCCAAAAACCTATCACCAAAAAAGAAACCCTAAAACCTTCCAAACAACCTTCCGAACAACCTTCCGCAACCGTAGGGGGGAAAAAAAAACGTCCTAAAACCTTCCTAAAAACTTCCGAAAACCTTCCAAAATAACCTTCCTAAAACCTTCCCCAGGAAGGTTTCAGGAGGGGTTGGCCCAAACACCTCCCAAAAACCTTTTTGAGGAAGGTTATAGGAAGGTTTGTTGGAAGGTTTTGGGAAAAACCTTCCCGGAACCTTCCTAAAATCTTCCTCCGGAAGGTTTTTGGAAGGTTGTTGGGAAAAACCTTCCTGATACCTTCCTAAAACCTTCCTCCGGAAGGTTATTGTTGTAAGGTTTTTGGAAAAAAAGCTTCCTGAAACCTTTCCAAAACCTCCCCCAGGAAGGTTTCAGGCAAGTTTTTGTTTGGAAAAACCTCACTGAAACCTTCCTAAAACCTTCCTCAGTTATATATATATATATATATATATATATATATAACGGTTGTTGGATAAACAACCTGCCCGAAACCTTCCCAAAACCTTCCCAAGGAAGGTTATTTGTCGTGTTATTATTATTATTATTACTATTATTACTATTATTACTATTACTATTATTATTATTAGTAGTATGATTATTATTATTATATATTATATGTTATAGATTTTGATATATTTTTGTTTGTATATATGTATACAGATGTAGATATTTAGATATGCATATCTACATATATATGTGTATATGAACGTATATATATATACATATATATATATATACATAAACAAAAACCTTCCTGGAACCTTCCCAAGACCTTCCTCAGGATGGTGTTTGGACGGCTGGTTGGAACAACCTCCCTGAAACCTTTTCTAAAAACTTCCTCAGGAAGGTTTTTTTTCCAGAGGTTCGGTTCTTTGGGAGAAACCTTCCTGAAGCCATTACAAGGAAGGTTTTTGAACGGTTTGTTTAGAAAAACCTCCCTGCCACTTTTCCTAAAACCTCCCCCAGGAAGTTTTTTTTTTTTTTTTTTTTTTTTTTTTTTCCGAAGGTTTGTTGGGAAAAACCTGCCCGAAACCTTCCTGAAGCTTTCCGCAGGAAGGTTTTTGGAAGGTTTTTTGGGAACAGCCTTCCTGAAACCTTCCTAGAACCTTCCTCTGGAAGGTGTTTGGAAGGTGTTTGGGAAAAACCTTCCTCAAACCTTCCTAAAACCTTCCTCAGGGAAATGTTGATAAAGGTTATTGGGAAAAAACCTGCCTGGAACCTTCCTAAGACCTTCCTCAATAAGGTTATTGGAAGACATGTGGAAAAAACCTTCCACCGGAAGGTGTTCAGAAGGTTTTTGGGAAAACCCTTTTCCTAAAACCTTCCCCAGGAAGGTTGTTCGAAGGTTGTTGGGAAAACCTTCCTGGAACCCTCCTAAAACATTCCTCCTGTTTGTTTTTGTTGGAAGGTTTTTTTGGGAAAAGCCGTCCTGAAACCTTCCTAAAACCTTCCTCGGGAATTTTTTGGCATATGAAAAATTGTCGGGAAAAACCTTCCTGAAACCTTCATCCGGAAGGTTTTTGGAAGGTTTCTTTTGGAACAACCTTCCTGGGGCCTCCCTAAAACCTTCCCCAGGAAGGTTTTTGAAAGGTTTTGTTAGGAAAAACCTTCCTGAAACCTTCCTAGATAGAACCTTTTCTCGGGAAGGTTTTTTGGAAGGCTTGTGGGAGAAACCTTCCTGAAACCTTCCTGGAACCTTCCTCGGGGAAGTGTTTCGAACATGTTTGGTGAAAAAACGCCCTGAAACCTTCCTAAAACCTTCACCAGGAAGGTTTCCGGAAGGTTGTTGGAACATGTTTGGAAAAACCTGTCTGAATCTTTTTCTAAAACCTTCTTCAGGAAGGTGTTTGGATTTTTTGGTAAAGAAACCTTCCTGAACCCTTCTTAAAACTTTCCTCAGGAAAGTAGTTTGAAGACTTTTGGAAACCCCCCTGGAACCTTCCCAAAGCCTTCCTCAGGAAGGTGTTTGGAAGGTTCTTTGGGGGAAAAAAACCTTCCTGAAACCTTCCTAAAACCTTCCCAAGAGAGGTGTTTGTAAGGTTGTTGGAAGGTTTTTGGGAAAACCTTCCTGAAACCTTCCTAACTAAAACATTCCTCGAGAAGGTTGTTGGAAGGTTTTTGGAAACAACTTCCTGAAACCTTCCGCAGGATGGTTTCAGGGAGGTTTTTGGACGGTTTTTGGAACAACTTTCCTGGAACCTTTCTAAAACCTTCCCCAGGAAGGTTTTTGGAAGGTTTTTGGGAAAACCTTCCTGAAACCTTCCTAAAGCCTTCCTGAGGAAGGTTCTTGGAAGGGTTTATCCTCCTTCCTCTTTTCTTGTTCCTTATTGTTCCTCCCGTCTTCACTTTTCTCCGGATCCCCTTTTCACCTTTTACGTGTGGAGTCGCTCTTTCCGCAGTCCGAACTCACTGCCAGACCGTCGGTTCTTTCTGCGTGCCCTGTGCTTTTGTGGATGCTGCTGCGACTGAGGGCGGACAGCGCGACGCGTGCACCGTGGCGCGGGATGCGTTGCTGGCCCAGCTGGGCCTTTCACGCCCAGAGCGCAATCTCCAGCCGCAAGCCCCTTCCTGGGCAACGACATCCTTCACCGACGATGCAGCTGCAGTCGCGCCATGGCTTGTATACCTGTGCCCCATGCGACCATCCTTCGCGTGATAATGAGGTTGTCTTTGGGGGGGACCTACGTCTCACTCAATCGATCTCGCCGCGCATGCCAACATCTGTCATCGCCACCGCCGCCACACCACCACCAAGCCACCACCACCACAACCCTCCACCACCACCACCACC